CATTTAAAAGCGGGAGGCAAAGGGTCAACGTTCCAGTCTCCCACCTGGCCGGAGGGGAGTGTTCCCGTCATCACTAATCTTTAAGGGTACGCCCAATTCTCCTAGCTCGCTCAAGCGAGGGTTGGGCACTTTTGCTAGATTTTCAGAACTTCGTAAAATGGGCGAAACCCACTCCGGGTCCGGAGAGCACTGATCCCTAGGGATCTTGGCTGTCAGTCAAATCTACTCCCCAAATTTAGCTGCCAACTGGGAGCTCTCTGGCTTCCCAGCTGCAGGAGGCAAGACGCGGAGAGATGGGACATGGAGGGAGGAAGAAGCGGAACACGTTAGGATCCGGTGGAAGCTAAGTCCCGCCAGCTGTGACCTTTGGATTCAGGAGTTTTGACTCAATATCCTTCGTGGGGAAATGGACAAATAAACTGTGGCATATTCATAAAATAAAAATAACTGAATAGGGGCGCCTGAGTGGCTCAGTCGTTAAGCGTCTGCCTTCGGCTCAGGCCATGATCCCATGGTGCTGGGATGGAGCCCCGAATGGGGCTCCCTGCTCGGCGGGAAACCTGCTTCTCCCTCTCCCACTCCACCTGCTTGTGTTCCTGCTCTCGCTCTCTCTCTGTCAAATAAATAAATAAAATCTTTAAAAAAAAAAAACAACTAAATAAATGAAAGAACCCAGATGCAGAGTGGCATCTATATGATGCCATTTATACACGGTTCTAGAACAGGAAAAACTAATCAATGGTGAAAAAAAATTTCAGAAAGTGATTGACTTTGGGGTAAGAATTGACTGGGAAGAGAAACTAGGGAATTTTCAGGGGTGATGGTAATGATCTAAATTCGCCTTGTTGTTTTGTTTTGTTTTTTAAAGCCATTATAAGGGATAGATCCGTTGACAATACCTGAACTCACTAATCCATCATAACATCACAGGGTCACCTCCTTGTGAGATGCATAGGAAGTACAAAGCTTCACACATTGCAAAAATTGAACCATATCAAGTCTCAAGATGCAAATACCAGTTGATAGGAAATATGGGGGTAGTAGGAACATGACAATAAATAAACATCATAGGAATGAAACCTACTATATCCAAAATGCAGGAAATAGGGGCGCCTGGGTGGCTCAGTTGGTTCCCATCAGACTCTTCATTTCAGCTCAGGTTATGATCACAGGGTGGTCACATCCGGTTCCATGCTGGGCATGGAGTCTGCTTAAGATTCTCCCTCTCCCACTGCCCCTGCACCAGCGCTCATGCCCTCTCTCAATAAACAAATAAAAGTTTTTCAAAAATATAGGAAATATATGGGTCAAATAACCTGTAAAATAGGGGAATAAGGTGAAAAGGGAAACCACTTTAGAATATAAGACACTTCTGGGACATAGCTACATCATGCAATGTTGCAATGTGTGGACCTTGTTTGGATCCTAATTCCAAGAAATGAAGCATAAAAGTAATTTATGAAATAGTAAGAGAATATGATCAGGATATTAGCTCATACTAATTACTAAAACTTTTAAGGTATAGTAATGGCTTATGTGTCTATGTTAAAAAGGAGTTAAGAGGGCACTGGGGTGGCTCAGTCAGTTGATCATCTTTTTTCTTTTTTTTAAAGATTTTATTTATTTATTTGACAGAGAGAGATAGCGAGAGCAGGAACACAAGCAGGGGGAGTGGGAGAGGGAGAAGCAGGCTTTCCACTGAGCAGGGAGCCCGATGCAGGGCTCGATCCCAGGACCCTGGGATCATGACCTGAGCCGAAGGCAGCCGCTCAACCAACTGAGCCACCCAGGCGCCCCATCTTTTTTTTTTAAATATTTTATTTATTTGACAGAGAGAGAGACAGCAAGAGAGGGAATACAAGCAGGGGGAGTGGGAGAGGGAGAAGCAGGCTTCCCGCGGAGCAGGGAGCCCGATGTGGGGCTCGATCCCAGGACCCTGAGATCGTGACCCAAGCTGAAGGCAGACGCTTAACGATTGAGCCACCCAGGTGCCCCAATCATCTAACTCTTGATTTTGGCTCAGGTCGTGGTCTCGGGGTCGTGGGATTGAGCCCCACGTCAGGCTCTGCTCAGCATGGAGTGTGCTTGTCCCCCCTCTGCTCCTCACCCCTGCTCTAAAAAAATAAAATCTTAAAAAAAAAGTTTGGGGTGCCCGGCTGGCTCAGACAGAAGAGCATGTGACTCTTCCTCTCAGGGTCCTCAGTTCGATCCCCACATTGTGTGTAGAAATTCCAAAAAAAATTAATAAACTTAAAAAAAAAGGGAGTCCTTATCTCTTTCAGATATATAGTATACAGATGAAATAATTATTTACAGATGAAATAATATGAAGTATACAGGTTTCGCTTCCTTTTTTTTTTAGAGATTTTACTTATTTGCGGTGGGGGGGCGGGGAGAGCAAGCGCACAAGCAGGGGGAGCGGCAGGCAGGGGGAGAAGCAGGCTCCCCACTGAGCAAGGAGCCCGATGCCCCAGGACCCCAGGATCATAACCTGAGTCAAAGACAGGCGCTTACCTGACTAAGCCATCCAGGCATCCCATAGGATTCACTTTAAAATAAGCCAGGGGGAGCTGTGGGGCAAGTATGGGAGATAATGAAAAAAGATTGGCCATTTGTTAAATGTTAAAGCGGAGCAATGTGTACACAGAGTTCATTGCATTACAATATTACCCCCACTTTCCTGTGTTTGGAAAATTCTATAATACAAGATTAAGCAAAAAACAAACAAGAAACTTTTGGGCTTCAAGAGCTTATCTAGTGTTTTATACTGAGCTTTTTCTACCACCTCCCCATCAGATCAAATCTCTGCAGAGAGGTGATAACTGCCCTGAGCAGATTGGTGACACATAGACCCTCCAAGACACAGGGACTTCAGTGTCTTGTTTGTAGTTTGCTAGCCTCTGGGGCTTTGACCCCAAGGTCGCCAGGAGGTGTCCATTCCACCCATAGCCACTTTATTTCCAATTTAGGCAGGGCCCCTCCAACTGTTGCTTCCTCCACCAGACCCTGCACTATGCCCCAAAGTGCAGCTCCAACTCACGCATTGTGATGTCAATGTCTTTCATCATGTCATGAAACAGGACTGCCTGGGGGTAGGGCACCATAGAGTCCTATGACCTCAGCCCATTGGAACACAGACTGGGTGAATCCCTCAGCTGCCTTTCCAGCTTGGGCTGGGGTAAGGGGATGCAGTTTCCCAAAACACTGCAGTGCTGGTGAGTTAGGATCTGAGACAGGCTGATGGAATAAAGCAGGAGCAGGGGCGCCTGGGTGGCTCAGTGGGTTAAGCCTCCGACTCTTAGTTTCATGACCTTAGTTTCAGATCAGGTCATGATCTCATGAGTTATGAGACAGAACCCAGAGGGGGGGGGGGGGGGGGGGGGGGGGGGCTGTGCTCAGCAGGGAGTCTGCTTTAAGATTCTTCCCCCCTTCCTTCTTAATCAAATTCACGGAAGCACTCTCACTCAAATAAATAAAAATCTTTAAAAAGGAATAAAGCAGGAACAGGTCAACCCAGAGGAAGCTTAGGTCTTGTTGGCTGAGGTCTGGATGGGTAGGCTGGCAAAGGTAAAAGGCAGGGTTTTCTGCCATACCGGCCTGGCTGATTCATGGTGAGAGCTTCTCCAACCATTTCTTTACTCAGCCAATACTGAAATCGATGTTAGGAGCTGAAACTACAGCAATGAACACAGGTCTCCTGCCCCCATGGGCAAGGTGCATGATGACAAACAATACAGCAGTAATCTATTTCAAATGCCAGGGAATATTAAACACGGTGTGGTGACAGAATGTGAAGGGCGTTGCTTTAGACTGGGTGATGAGGGAAAGCTTAAGAAAGTAACATTTGATCTGAGGCTTGAATGACATGGAACCAGCCACGTGAAAATCTGGAGACAAAGAACCAGTAGGTGCAAAACCTTAGATTGGGATTTGCAAGACTGGAAAAAAGATTTAAGCTTAGTATGCAATAGGATGGTAGAGGATGAGGTAAATGGAAAACATCAAAGCTTTTTAATGATAGCTTCTAATTTTCCATAACCCACGGGGGAAAGTCAAATGACTTGCAGGGGTTAAAAATTAGTCAAACAGCATCTTCCACCTCTTAAAATGACCAAAACGTTCTAAGGGCAAATTACCTTGTTTTTTAAATCATAAAAAAATTGATAGTGTCACGATAGTGACAGCAGGGAGAACAGGGCCTTATCTGCCCACTGCTGTATTACCAGCACCTGGATTCTCTTACTTTGGCATGTGACAGGGCCTTGCCATTCATATTGAACAAATGCCCAAGTTAACAGTAATCAATGAGATTGTAATCGCTATTAACGACATTTGAAATAGCAATGAGATTCATGAACAGACTCGATGATGGTTTGGAAAATCAATTATTTTCATTAAATATCCTGCATATATTCAAATTCTGAATAACCAGTATTTTGCCAGTGACTTGTTAAAATGAGGTATGACTGAAAACTGTCCTCAGACTCTTGTGTTGCTTGCATGTGTCTCATTCTATTTTGTCTATTGATCATCACTTTCTGGTTATAATGAAGTCTCTCAAAGAATCGGTAAATTAATACCCGTTCTCGCCCACATCACAGCTCCCTTGGAAAAATCTGATGACAACTGTAAAATTAGATGCTATTCAAGCTTTTGAAAGTAGCTTAGAGATTATGCTGAGGGCCCTAAAGCCTTTGCCTGCTTTTTTTGTGGGGGAGGGGTCAATCCCCCATACTCCAATCTCTTTCAAAGCCCCAGCAACTGAAGGAAAGAAGACCTACTTTAGACCAGGTGATTAGGGAAGGTCCAATTTTTAGCTGTCAAAATCTATTACTAAGCAGGGTGAACTGCATAGGGCCCTTTGTTGGGAACACCTCAGGCTCCATCTCTCTCCCAGTGTTTAACGTTCAAGGACAAGGGACCCACCCTTTGCCTCTTTCCCTCCCTCACTCCCCAGGTTCACAGGTAAACCCTCCCACCCCAGAGAGCACCAATCAACACAAACTGCTACATTTTACTTTATTTTTGCACATAATGAAAACAATCGACTAAGCAGTTCCAGAATTATTAATGTTCGTTAATCAAGAAGTAAGTTGCTTACTTCTAAGGTCAGAAGGCAAACTTTTCATTTTTTCCCAAACATATATTGCAAGTATCACAGAAAGTCCTAACAATACATGCAACATGGGCTAGTTTCAACATAGAGAGCCCAAGCAAGAAGGGTGAGTACTAAAGATCCAGGTGGGTCAGACCAGGAGCAGTGCTCCAGGAAGCTAGAAATCTACCGAGCCAGTCATTAACCCTGCCCTGCCATACACATTTGCCCTGTGAAGTTCACTGCATTTTGTCAGATTCAAATGAGCAGCTCTTTCCTCCCACATTCCAGGCTCATTATTTCCTCCTGTCCCAAGGCGGATAATCCATAGACAGAAGTCCAGGCAGCTCCAAATATACTCTCCCAGCTGTGTTTCACTTGGCATCTACATAAGCCATGCTCCAGCTCAAATTCTGTACAGGAAGTTCCCATTGCTATCGAAGAACTCTCGCCCCCTCTGGACTACTTTGCTGCTGAAGTTCTGATCACCTGGCTCCTGTGCCTTCACATCTTCCAGCTTGTCACTTGGCAATCCATAACCATCAGTTCCTCTCTTGCCCGCACCATCACTGGTGGAGTATTTCTGCAGCTCTCGCTGATGACCTACGGCCGCTGCAACAGGCACAGAGCGCTCCTCCTCCGGGACCCGGATTCCTTTATTCCCTCCCTTCTGTCTCCTTGGTGTATTTGTACCATGAGTGTTTGATTCTATCACGTGCAAAGCTGTGCTGTGACCCCAGCCTTTGAATGAGGATTCACCACTTTGCAGCAACAAAGAGCCTGATCCAGAGTGGCTTGCAGATAGCGACTTCAAGGTATCCCCAAAGCTGGGGAGCTGCTGGAGTGAGTAGGCAAGCCCAGCTTTCTTAAGGACTTTTTGATCCTGCTTCAGCTTCTGCTCCAATGTGGGTACAAACTTGCTTTTTAAAACCCTTCGGATCACATCAGTGCTGACACCAAAGCCTTCAGCTAATCTAGGAACTGACCAGGACTCTGCGAATTCTTTATGTAAATACCTATGGGAAAAAGGATTAGGTTTTCAAGGTGTGAAGCAGTCTATCAAAGTGGCTAAGGGATAATCTAGTGATATTTATGTGAAAAGAAGAGGGCTCGGAAGAACTGCAAACATACATAGCCTCTACCTTTGCCACTAAATGGCTGTATTCCATTCCTGTGAGCTGACAGCAACACCCAACCACTCCTAAGTCACTTTATTTCTGTCAACTAAACTCCTCCCACTGTGCACCAGGCCCCCAGGCCCCTGGTAGATCCTGGAGATGCATGAAGACTGTCCCTCCTTTCAAAGAACATAAAATCTGGTGGTGGAGACAGAATATTAACATATATAACACCAGTGTGGTAAGTCCTAGGAGAGGATGCTGTCAGAGCACCCAGGAGAGACCCAGGGATAAGATATCCCAACACGTGAGGCGTGGCTCGGGATTTGCTTCAGAAGCCCACCTACAGCTGGTGTGAAAGGACGAAGAGTACCAAGACGAAGAGTACTAAGCTGGGGAGGAGAGAAAGAAGAGATCAAAGGTATTGATGATAGCCAGGGCAGCATATAAAATGCAGAGCAGTACATTACCATTGCTGGCAATAGCTCAACTTGTCCAACAGTGAGGACAGGAAGACGATCATGTCATGCTTACAAGTCTGGAGTTTATCCCAAAGCAACAGTGAACCAAGGAAGGATTTTTTTTTTCTATTGAGCTATTTCTTTAAGATACAGTTTGAGTTGTGAATTCATGGTAGTAAAGGATATGAACATTTATATAACTCTTACTATACACTGACCCTTTTTTTTTCTCAGCCAGATGCACTAATTTCAAATGAGATATTGCTTTTTTTTAAATTTTATTTATTTATTTCAGAGAGAGAGAGAACATGAGAGAGATAGAGAGCACGAGAGGGAAGAGGGTCAGAGGGAGAAGCAGACTCCCCGCTGAGCAGGGAGCCCGATGTGGGACTCGATCCCAGGACTCCAGGATCATGACCTGAGCCGAAGGCAGTCGCTTAACCAACTGAGCCACCCAGGCGCCCCCAAGGAAGGATTTTTAAGTGGGTGTATTCAAAAATAGAAGAATTGCAATTCAGGACACACAAGCTATGGCAAACCATATGCAGGTACAGGAAGGACTTTAAGCAGTGGAATGCCACAAGCAGCTTTTCATTTTGAAGCTCAATCCGGGGGCAGTTTTCAGTGGCAGGACTAGAGATGGAAAAATCAGGCAAGAGGCTGTCCCGGTAATGCAGGCAGTCTGAACTGCGGCAGCTGCAAAGAAAGCAGGAAAAGGAAGAGAGCTGAGAACTGTTATAGGAAGGCCTTATGGTAGAGCTTGGTAAGGACTAAATACTGGGGGTAGAAGTCAGCGCAGATTCAGGCTTTCAGCCTGAGTGATTGGCGGGACCATTCAGGGATAGAGCGAAAAAAGGAGCAAAATGAAGTCAACAGGGAATAATGATCAATTTTCTTTTGTTACATGGAGTTTGCTATTTTATTATGTTGGGTTTGAAAAACATGTGTGACATCCAAACAGAGATGGTCTAGTGCGTGGTTGAATATATACAGGTCAGAAGAAAAGCACGGCCTGAGGATGACAGATTTGGAAGTCATAAATGAAGAGCAGGGGTGGTTGAAGCCACATGAATGAAACAGGTGGAGAGAGAATGACCAAGGACACAATTCTAAAAAACAGCAGTATTTAAGATACAGGAGGAACGACAGGAGCCCAGGAAGGAAAGTGAGAAAAGCAGCTCTAGAACTAGAAGTGAGTGGGCGCCTGGGTGGCTCAAGATGGTTAAGCAACTGCCTTCGGCTCAGGTCATGATCCCAGGGTCCTGGGATCGAGTCCCGCATCGGGCTCCCTGCTCCTTGGGAGCCTGCTTCTCTCTCTCTCTCTCCTTCTCTCATGAATAAATAAATAAAATCTTAAAAAAAAAAAAAAGAAATAGAAGTGAGTAGTACCTTGGATCAAAGGAGAAGAGAATTAATTTCAAGAAAACACACTACAAGATCAAATGCTGCCAAAACATTAGAAAGGCTAGAGACTAGGGGCGCCTGGGTGGCTCAGTCGTTAAGCGTCTGCCTTCGGCTCAGGTCATGATGCCAGGGTCCTGGGATCGAGCCCCGCATCGGGCTCCCTGCTCCACGGGAAGCCTGCTTCTCCCTCTCCCACTCCCCCTGCTTGTGTTCCCTCTCTTGCTGTGTCTCTCTGTCAAATAAATAAAATGAAATCTTTAAAAAAAAAAGAAAAAGAAAAAGAAAGACAGAAAGGCTGGAGACTAGAGTGTCAGGAGTGCCTAGCACTGAGAAAGTCACTGATAAGATTTGTGGACAACGGTTTCACTGTTGTGACCAAACAAACCAGGACAGGCAGCCAGGAAGAGCTACCTGCGAACAAAAGGACGAAGGAGAACCTGAGGTGACAGATGTAGGTCTCTGAGGAATTAGGTACAACTATGGCCTAGTGCAGAGGATCGGTCCTAGACAAGTAAAGGGCTACCACTTCCCCTGGTTTGTAAACACTGAGAACGGGAAATAAAGAGGAAGACCAAGCTTTAAAGGGCTCTTAACTAATGGTCAGTTTTTTCTTTGAAGTAAAAGGGTATCTATTAACCACAGAAAGGGAGGTGACAGGAAGATTTGGAAAAGCCGTTGTTCAAGAGGGGAAAGGAGGATGACACGAAACAGGTGCTACAGGCTCACAAAATCTCCTTGCTCTACAGAATCCCCTTCCTTCTAAGTGTCAACTTCAGAGTCATTCTAATGGGAATGGAAAAGGACACATAACTTATGGAAGCCTGCTTAGCAATATTCATCAAAATGCAAATCCATCTGCCCTTGCACCCAGCAACTCTACTTCTAAAGAAGGTACGCAACAAATACACAGGGTAGATACGTGGAATCATGTGTATATTCAGGAGAGCACTATTTGTGACAGCAAGTGAATGCAAACAAGCCAAATACACATCATGAGAGACTGGTTAACTAAATTATGAATTACTGGGGCCCCTGGCTGGCTTAGTCAGTAAAACATGCAACTCTTAGTCTCAGGGTCACGAGTTTGAGCCCCACACTGGGCATAGATATTACTTAAAAAAAAAAAAAAGTTATGATTTACTATGATTTCTCCAAAAAAAGAGCTTTCTGTTCTGAAGTGGAAAGATCTATGAAATAGGTGAAAAGGGGCTCCGGCCTGGCTCAATCAGTACACAAGACCCTTGTTCTCCAGGTTGTGAGTTCGAGCCCTGTGTTGGGTGTACAGATAATTTGAAAAGAAAATCTTTAAAAAAAAATGTAAAGAAAAAGAAATATGTGAAAAAGGAAAAGTGTAGAACAGTATTTACAGTATTCCGTTTGTGATTAAGGAAATGAAAATAAAAACCTATATTCATACTCCTATTTGCATAAAGAGACTTGGAAAAAGGCACAAAAATAGTTCCATGGGAGACTGGCTGGGATTAAAACTTTGCAATGTGTATACCACATTACACTGTTCTGATTTTCTAATTTTTTTTTTCTGATTTTCTAATTTTGAACCATATGTAATGTATTGTCCCTTCAAAACAACAAATATTAAGACTTAAAAAAAAAAAGATCTATGATTTTTAAGATAGGGATTTTCTCTTCAGAAAACGTACATAACATAACCATGGAAGCCCCCATCCCTGACCTTCGCTTAAGAACGTCACGATCTTCGGCTGAGGTTAAATGATGGGATGTCTTGCAGCTTACTCTTTTAAAATTTCAGCAAAAACGAACCAACTGTGTCCTGATGTTAAGAACTATTAAATTTAGATGACAAGCTTACGGAAATTCGTTATGCTATTCCACCTGTCATTTAGAAATTTTAAATGATAAAAAAGTAAAATATAAAAATAACGTTCTAGGCCCCCCCCCCCCGTATCCCTCACTTCTCATCACAGCAGATCCCAACTACAGCGAGTCTTACCGGATCTGTTCCATGGCTTTCCACGTCAGGGTCCTGGGCGGGGCACCCGGCGCTTCCATTTGCCTCCGAATTTTCTGGAACCGGGCGGCTTTTTTCTGTCGTTTCAGGGTGCTGGGGGAGAGAAGCCATGCGTGGGAGCAGACTGGGTGGCTGAACAGCCTCGGACTAAATCACAAAGAGCCCAGCCCTCTTCTCTCTGTTTGCAAGGGCAACCAGGCCATGTGTGTTGGCTCAGACCTGCTCCATACACCTCCCCAGAAATCTAACACCTAACACAGCCCGTAAGCATGCCGAACTTTCTAAACGGGTGATGAAACACGTCACTAGTGAAGAAAGCTGTGGTCCCAAAGGAGCCGCACGCCTGCCCCTGCGCCCCTGACAACGGATAAGAAACAAGGGCTAAGGCGGATACGGCGGCACCACGCCCGGCTCCAAGGGGGCGCGGCCTGGAGCGCAGGGGCGCGAAGCCCTACTTCAGGGGGAGGGGCCCGGGAAGGAGCCGGTACCTCTCCACCTCCTGCAGCTCCCGCTCCTCCGGCTCCCAGTCGGAATCGGGGTCCGGCTCGCGGCCGAGAGAGCCGGGGTCTGCCACCCCCCGGGTCGCGAACCCACAGCGAGCAACAGCAGCACGTACACGCACGCCCAGCAAGAAGCTCAGAGTAACCGCCATGTCCACAACAGCCTTCGGCAGCCCGAAACACGCAGTACCGGAAGTCTGGGGGCGGGGGCGGAAGTGGACAGGCGGGCCGGAAGCAGGGATGGCCGCGGGTCTTTCCCGCTTCCGGCCGAGGGCGGGATATCTGGGCTTGAACCCGTATGCGGCACACCCTTCCCGGCCCCGGATGTGGAGAGTATTGAGCCTGAAATGCAAGGGCCGGAATGAGGTAGAGGACACTCCTGCAAAACGCCATAAACTTTAATAAAAAGACGGATTCATTTGCCAAGAGCCGCCCCTCCGCCCCAACGGCTGCCCAGGCCGGCCTGTCTCCCGCCACGGCGGCGGAAAGGGCGTCCCCTCGGCGGTCCTCTGATGACGACAGCCCCGTGCCTTGGGCACTCGGCTCCTCTGGGAAAGGGGCTCCTTGTCGCCAGGATGACCTCTAGCCCCGGGCTGCACCCGGGGTTCAGACCCATCACCTAGCAATAAATCCAGGATAAGGTCTGAAGGGCGGGGATGAGTACATGGCCGACCCTGGCTCCTCTTCATCTTTTAGTCTTTACGGATCTGAAAATAATCTTAGGGTATTGAGGAATTCTTGGTGTCTTTGTGTTTTGCCCTGTGCAAACAGGGTTCCTGGCCAGGGCTTTTCAAACTGAAGCTTGGTGACAGTCTTTCATTTAGCAAAGATTGAAGGCCCTCTGCTCCTTTGGAAACCTGAGGGGGCTCTCCAGGAGAGGTTGAGTGCTGGGCTTCCATCCTGCATTTACCTATGGTGGCTGATGTCAAGGAGGGCGGTGGTGCGCAGCATCAGGGGTGCAGAGGCAGGGCAGAGAGTGAGATCCCGGGCCTTGGGTGCTCTGTGTTCAGAGTCTACCGCGGAGGGCAAGGCGCATTCAGTCCATGAGCCACTTGGCACTCTTTCTGGTTGCAGAAGATAGCCCTGCTTTGGGGTTAAAGAGGATGGCACTGATCCTGCCAGGGCTCTGTTTATGGCTTCTAGCCTTCTGCTGGCTTGGCCTTCTGCAGTGGAAACATGGGTCCCCTGAGTTGGTATTCACAGGAGATTCGCTCACCTCTTTACCAACTGTTGCCCAATTACCAACACAGAGGAATGGGATCCCATGCTCCCCTCCAGCATCTTTACCACACTGTATTGTAATTGCGTGTTTACGTGTCTGTTTCCCTGTTATGTTTGTTGAGTGCTGGGACTGTACTTCTGCCATTTCTACCAGGGTCCACTACCTATCCCATTTCCACACTGGTGGAAGTGCCATGTTCTATTTTGGGAACATCCCAGCTGTAATGTTTGCTAGTGGGAATTTACACAAGTCAGAGTGACCAAAGCTAATTTCGCATACTTACGGCTAGTGAGCCTGACTCTGGCACTGGAAAAATAGCGCCTTCCAGATGTCTTCATTGACAATGAACAGGGGCCGATGGCTGCTGGATCTCCTATCCAGTTGAAGGTCTTGGGCTGTAGGTGGCACCAGGAATGATGTGGAATTGCTGCGTTCATGGCTGGTAGTGGCCCTAAGATCCTGGGGATCAATTTGTGGGCCCGAACTGGATGCAGGAAATGAGGGCGGCCCTGCTCTTTGGCGGCCCCTCTCAGGAGGACCAGTGGGACCAGACTCACAGATTGCAGTTCTTGACTGCCCAGCCCGTCCTGGTGAAATCTAGGCTAGAGGAGAAGAGCAGCCCCTTACCACATTTCTTGTGAGGCTGGATGGAACGGTGTGAGAAAACAGGTAACTGAAGCATCTAGGCTGTGGCCACTATTTAACCTGTTGACTCCTTTGGAGCTCAGCAAAAACTGAGGACCCAATAGGCTTGCTACTAGCCCAGGGAATAGTGAATGCAGCAGCTGTTCTGTTGGCCCCAGTCTGTTTACTTATCACCCATTAGAGCCATGGTACTGGCAGTGCTAGGAAGAGATTACACAGAAGCCACCGAGGGTGGTGGCCTTGTTCTTTGTCAATCATGGGTTTGGGATTATTGCAAGACTGGGATATAGAGAACAGGTCTCTTAGGAGAAGGTTGGGAGCTGCATTTTGCCAGATGTCATTACTACAAACAAGGGAGCTTGGGAACAAGTGCAAAAGGAACCCAGAGACCCTCTCCCAACACCCAGCATACTCTGCTTTCCCAGGCTCCGTGCCAGATACCATCACATTAGCGGCCTGTGCTGTGACCACCACCATGTGCTGCTGCAGCCCTTCCTCCTTTGCTCTGAGATGCTGCGGAGGGACCCTCACCCGATACTCATGAAGTTTTTTCTGGCCCCGGTGGCTGGGGTGCAGCATGCGCGTGAGCTGCTCTACAATACCGAGGCTTCGGATGAGATTCTCCCTTTGTAGCAGGGCCTTCACTCGCTCCAGCTCCTCTTCTTCCACGATTTCCTGAGGATGCCTGGTACCCAGGTGTACCGGTAGCAGCTATGAGATACATGAGAGATGAATGCAAGATCTCCAAGGGTGAGGCCCACACCATCAACAGGGATGGCTGCGGGACTCCTGCCCACTCTACCCACCCTCGCATCTCTTCCCTGACCCTAGCGGAAGGTTCTCTGCCATCGTTCTCTCTCTCACCTCCCGGTCCACCAGGCCAGATCCAGTGTATTCATTAGGAACTCCTCTCTTTCACAAGAGGAGGAGAGGACAGCAAAGATTCCCTTCTCTAGGAGTCCCAACCCATTTCCTGCAGGAAGGCAAGAGCTACCAAACCCCTGACACCTCTTTCTCCCGGATCCGGTTCCGGTAAGCCAAGTGGGTGGAAAGGCCCTGGAGCCGGGCCCTGGATCGGCTCTTCTCCCCTGCTGATTCGCCCTGGTTCTGGTCCCTGTTTTCCTTTCGCCTCTTACTGCCTGAGGTCTCCTGCTGTTCCTGCTTAAGGCGGATCTCTTCCAGTTGCTGCCTGATAAGACACAGCAGCTTCAGATGCTGGAGAAATTGTGTTGGGGAGAAGCAGGGTGAGGGAAAGTGGGGATGGGAGAGTGGGGAATTATGATCTGTTGAGGAGACTGAAGGGAGAAGAATGAAGGGGAAGATGGGAAACCTCCTAAGTGGAAATGGAGTCACTAAGAGTCTGATAGGATGTATGACTCCATTCCTCTTTGCTCAAGTGTCCGGCTTCCTCTCTACCCTGCCGGGGAGCAAGTCAACCTCAGGATATGCCCCACCCAAGTGGACAGAGGAGAATGAAAGGCAGAGTACCTGGCACACTCCTCTCTGGCCTTGGAAGCAGCAGTCTCCTGGAAAAGGGAGCCATTGTGCTTGAAGAAAGGTGTGTACTTCTCCGTGTCAGGCCCAGGGTAGATCCGCCGGTACCCCCCGAGGTGGGAATCCTCATAGCGCTCCTGGTCCAGTATTGCTGCGTGGGACGACTCAATGTGTTCTCGCCTATGGAAACCAAGCTCAGAGTGAGTCAGGAGGATTGTGAGAACGTTCAGTGAGGAAAGGAAGGCTGGCCGAGGCTTTGAGGATCTCCTGCTAGCTTCATGGCCTTTCCCATGTAGGGAAAGCTGCCAAGGCCATTGGGCCAATCCCACCTGTGTGCAGCCATGGAAACAGAGGCTTGACTTCCAGAAATCGGGTTTTCATCTTAAGTGCAAAGGGGTCCCCTCATAAGCTAGTACTCTAAGTTATCACAATCTTTTAGGTTTCTGATTATAGAGTAATCTATGTTAATTACAGAAAAAGCAGAAGCGCAAAAAGAAGATCAAACCTCCCATAATCTTACTGTGCAGTTAGTATATTGGTTATGAGCATGGACTCAGGGGCAGGACCCCCAAGTCTGAATCCCAGCTTTGCTACTAACTACTTTGCTCTTTCTCTATTCCTTCCTTCCTTCCTTGTTTCGGACAAAAATGGGATCATACAACAATATTTTACAATGGCTTTCCAGTATTCAAGTGATTCTATGATTGTACCTTATTTATTTTTTTAAGATTTTATTTATTTATCTGACAGAGACACAGCGAGAGAGGGAACACAAGCAGGGGGAGTGGGAGAGGGAGAAGCAGGCTTCCCGCGGAGCAGGGAGCCCGATGCGGGGCTCGATCCCAGGACCCTGGGATCATGACCTGAGCTGAAGGCAGACGCCTAACAACTGAGCCACCCAGGCGCCCCTGTTTTTTTATTTTTTTAAAGATTTTATTTTGAAGTAATCTCTACACCCAACGTGAAGCTGGAACTCACAACCCCGAGAACAAGAGTCACATACACTCATAGAATCACTTGAATACTAGGAAGCCTATTTAACTATTGGACTTATTAAACATACAGGGCGCCCCTGTATGTCTGTTTAATAAGTCCAGTAATTTTCAGCCCTTTTCCCTGCTGAAGGACATGATTCATACAGTCACGTGTGCAGTCCCACTGTGGGAATCCCCAGCATATTTACAGTTATACTTCCCCTCCATTCACACACTTGAGTGCCTACTGTGTGCCAGGCCCTCAGGAAATCATGACAAATCAAATACACACTGGCCCTGCATATTGCAATGCAGGTGGCGAAGAGCAATGTTGTTATGGGAATAATTCTAAATCTACTCCAACTCATTTGTACGTATTATTAACATAATAATTTAGTATCAGCAACAAATCACCATGTTTGTAACCCATCTTACAATGAAAGCAACAGTGGGTGAAAAAGACTGATTTTAACAATCCCTTATTGTTGAATGACTAAACTGTTTTCTGTTTCATTATTATAAACTTTCTAGAGGGGCTTTGTCAAAAAAACAAAAGCAAGAACAAACAGCTCGTCAAACGGCATAAAGCTCCTTATGTGCTAATATGAAATAGCTCCAAACGACACTGCTAAGCATGGTACAGAGAGTGCGAAAGTTACACTATTGTCTGGGTAAAGGGAGAAGAACAATCTGTATAAATATATATGTATATATGTAGGTACGTATGCAGTAAATGTTTGTGAGAGTATACATGTGACCCTAGGATCATAGATTAGCTCCTCCAGGGGGGGACACAGTAGCTGGAGAAGAGTTAAGAGATTATTCACAGTATCTTTTGAATTTTGAACATATTGTCTATGACAGGTCATATATTATCTGTGCAGAAGAAAAGTTATTCTTCATAGCTCATCAGCCCCAGACCACTTTCACCACCTAAAGTAGCACTCTTAACACCCAGGCCAGTGCTAACAAGACCACTCAGACACCTGGAGCACCTGGCTTCTCGTGGCTGCTGGTGGCACTGGAAAAGCCGCTCCTTGACTCGCCGCTTGTCTTCCTCCATCACCTTCCTTTTGTCACAGCCACGGAGGTTGACAAGGGTCATGGTATCGCAGAGAAGTGTATCCTTCACTTCTCGATCAAGGCGGGAGTCGGTGGTGAAACTTGGAGAGTGGTTTACCTGCCAGGAGGAGTCATTATCCACCCCATTCCTAGACCACCCAAGCAGGTGTGGTCTCTTGCAGGCCTGACTGGAGGCTCTAGTCAAGACATCCCCCCACAGAGGCCTCGGCCAAGGGGGCTGGGTGTTTCTGACTTACAAGGCCACAGGACTCTGCCGCAGAGATCCCTCCAACACACAGGCTGATGGGAGCAAAGTAGACAGCCTGATTCTATAGACAGTGTGTCCCTAAAGACAAAGATTACCTGAGAAACACTTGGGATCTAAATCCTGGATTCCTATGGTGGAGGCCAGAGACCACAAAGATTTGACTCAGCAGGTGGAAAGCAGAGAGATGATCTTACACCTTCTGCCGGTTCATCCCCACCCAGTGCCACCATGTCCCCCATTCTGTGTTCTACCAACTGAGTGCACTCCTACCCCAGGCATCCCGTTCAGGGTGGCCTCTGGACCTTGGTTTGGCAAAGCCCAAAAGACATTCCTCACCTCCAGCAGCCAGGGCTTCAGCTTGTGGTCCAGCAAGATGTCAAAACCAAGGATCTCAAAACAGGCACATGTACTTCCAGTCAGATATTGGGGAAAACAGGTTCGGTAGTTGTGGCGAAGAACGGAATGGGCTGAGATGATGGTTTTGATGATGATGTCCTCGATGTCCCCCCACAGCTCTCGGGGGTCGTAGCCATGTTCTCGCAGCGAGGCGTTGAGCATTGACAGCTTCCTGCGAGGCCCAGTGCTCAGAGGAGGACCCATTTCTACACCAGTGGGTCTGGGCCACAGACAGGAGGGTCCCTACCATTAACCCTACTTCCGGGCGCCTACGTGAGAGCTTGAAGTGGGGCTTACTTACGGTGGAAGGGGGGGGGCTGCACTTAGAGGTCAGGCACAAGACAGGGGTCTGTAAAGATGGTTTTCCTGAGCAACTGGCCTCCCAAGAGCCAGCTCAGTTTCATGGGCTGCTGAGACTGTAGGGCTAAGGAGCAATCAGAGAGGGAGTACCTCTTACTGCCCACAGCATCATCTCGGACAAAATTCTCATTGTGTTTGTTGATAGCATAGTTGGTCAGGTGCATGCAGACGTCATCCTGGGAAGAGAGTGGCCCTGTGGCTCAGACTGCTTCCCTGCAGCACCCCTCTCCAGCCCTTCGTTGCGTTTTTATTACCCATCCCTCCCCGGGACGGCTCATCTCCTGTCCCTCTTCACCTAAGAACTGTCCCATAAGCCCCTGGGGAAGGATGTAGGCCAGGCTCCTCCAGGTAGGACCTTGCAGTAGTCACCACCCACCAAATGCTCTCCTCCCCGCCAGATGCCAGGGTGCTCACTGGTTCATTCCCAGTTCACGGATGACAATGATAAGCCTCTCTACTTGGTTTCTCCATAGAACCTCTGTGCTCACAAGAAGAGGTCGCCGCCCTGCCCCCCAGGACTGCTAGCTGGCCCCTTACCAGGTTGCTCTGGCTGGGCTCCACGTAGGGCACAGTGGCAAAGCGGGCCAGGCCCTCCTCATACATGAAAATCCGAAGAGGGTCACAGGATGTGATCAGGACATAGATTCGCATATCAAACTTGAAGCCATCAATGAGGAAGGGCTGAAAGCATGCAAACCCGCCAGGGAAGAAAACCTCTGAAGTGCTCATTCTATCCCATGCACTGCTGTAAGCGTTTCAAATCATGATAACTCATTTAATTTCCATAGTAACCTTATGAAGCATAAAGTAGTTACTGCTATTATTCCCATTCAACAAATGAAGAAACTAAGGCACAGAAAGAATAAGAAATTGCCCAAGATCACACACCTAAGAAGTGGGAAAATTCAGATTCAGACCCAGACAGGCTGGCTCTGAACCATGGCTCTGGACTGCCTCCAAGTTAAGGGGAAACAGCAGGAAGGATAGGAGCCGAAGGGTAGGCTGGCTTCCTCTCTGACACGGGGAGAGATGAGGAGCCCCAGGGCTCGGGGAGGGCCCTGGTGGTTCTGAGGCACCCTTCACCTTGGAGATGTATTGCTGGCAGATCATATGCTCTCCTGGCTTGATCTCCCGGGGATTTCGGGTGATGAAGATGCCCCGTCCCTGGCAGCCACTGTCTGGCTTGCAGATGTAAGTGCGGCTTTTTCGCTGACGACCATAGGACTGGAAGTCCCCAAAGCTACGTGCAGAGAGAGGCTGGTCAGAAGGCTTCGGTGCATCACAGCTGAGCCAGGCCCTGTGGAGCTCTGCTGTCCTGTCCACACTCTTCTGGAGCCTCCGTCTCGGACCTCCTTTTCTTAGACCAGCTGAAACTCTCATCCCTTGAGACTTTCTAGGTCACAAGGCCAGAGTCTGGAGGGAACGAGATGGTGAAACCTTTCTTCCCCAAGGATATGAGCCTGGGGAGCAGGGGCTCACTCACTCTGCAGGGAGGCACCAGGTGCGGGGGAAGATGTTGTACTCGGTAGGATAGAGTTTCTGCATGCGGTTGAGGTTCCGAGCCAGCAGATCTTTGCGGCAGATTTCTGTCATTCCAGGGAAGTGGTTGATTTTCTGAAACAGAGTCAGTTGGTTATCTACCCCCACCAGCAGAGTAAGCGGCAGTCCCTGGGGCCTTGGGCATACCAGGAGGACTGGAAAGGTCAAGGTAGAAGTCACAGTGGATGGGGCTCCTGGGTGGCTCAGTCGGTCAGGCATCCGACTCTGCATTTCAGCTCAGGTCATGATCTCAGTGTCCTGAGATCGAGCCCCTCACTGGGTTCTGTGCTGAGCGTGGAGCCTGCTTGGGATTCTTTCTCTTTCCCTCTCTCTCTGTTCCTCACTCCCTACCCCCCACAAACACATGCACGTGTGCTCTCTCTCTCTCTCTCTCAAAAAAAGGGGGGGGTGCCTGGGTGGCTCAGTTGGTTAAGCGTCTGGCTTCAGCTCAGGTCATGATCTCAGGGTCCTGCGATCGAGCCCCGCCTTGGGCTCCCTGCTCAGCCGGAAGTCCGCTTCTCCCTCTCCCTCTGCTCCTCCCCCCTGCTTGTGTTCTCTCTCTCTCTCAAATAAATAAAATCCTAAAAAAAAAAAAAAAAAAAAAGTCACGATGGGGATAAACACTGTACCCAATACCCTAAGGGAGAAAAGGAAGGTTCCATAAGGCAAGTGAGAACCTTGGCCTCCTTGGCCTCTCCCAAAACACACGTCCACCCTGAGGTCAGGAAATGAGGGGCAGCAAGAAGGATTTGCCAGGACTTTGGGCCTTCTAGCCACCTGATAACATCCCCCAGACCACTGGAGACTCGTCCTATAAGAAAAATTGGTGCATGGGAGCACAAGCAAACGAGAAACCATTTTCCAAAAGAGCAAAGGAAGTTGAGAAGCAGTCCCAGGAATGCCCTGCTACAGCACCCCCCCCCAAGGATATGATGATGCCAGGGTGCCCGTTGGAACCCCAATGCCAGGAGGCAGCATCTCGCATTGGTTCTGGGCTGTCTCACTGGCTTTACCACTCACTCGCTGCAGAAAATTCGTGTTTCCGAGCCTTGGTGTCCTCTTAACAAAAGGGTATCTGCCACTCAGGGTTGTTTTTGAGGATTTAATGAGGTAAGGGTGGTAAAAGCATTTAATACAGTGACTGACATTCAGTACATCGTCAAGGAATGCTGTTAATTATTGTCTTGCTCATCTTCCCACTGCTTCCTGCGTGTCCCTCCCTTGGGGCTTCTCGAGCACTTCGAGTTCACTCTCTGTCTCTCCCTCGGGCTCTTCTCCCGTGACTTGTCGTAGGACAAGTTACAGTCTCCTCAACTCCCTTCCTGGCTTCCCCTCAAACTAAGCCTGCAGATCTTTTTACATTCTTGTGTTGCTAACCACCACAAAGACCCAGTGAGAGGTCTGGCTCAGTCGTTCGGTGGAGTGGGTGACTCTCGATCTCCGGGTTCTGATTTCAAGCCCCATGTTGGGTATGGGGATTAACTTAAAAATAAAATCTTAAAAAAAAAAAAAAAGACGCAATTAGAGGATAACAAAAATGCCATGAAGAGGTTATATTCTTTTTGAGGAGCCATCCTTCCTGACTTTCTTGCTGCTGTGCTGAACCCCACACTGACTCTCAATGGATGCGGCTGCTAGGCTAAGCTGCTTAGAAGCTGGATCACTCTCCTGGCCCGGCTCTTGGCATCGAAGCTCCCTTCCAGCCTTCCCCTTAGGTGGGCTCACCTGCCCCGAAGGGGGCCAGCTGGGCACAGATGCCTTCAGGCAAACGGTGCCCAGCAGAAGCTTCCTTCCTATAAGAGAAGTTCCAGAAACCCAAGAGGAGGACTTTTCCAGGGGAGCAGAAGCCCTGGCCGTGGCCTTTCCTGCTCTGCCCAGGGGGACAGCCACAGAGGGTGGCAGCCGCAGGTGCCCAAGCAGAAGGACAGGAGGACTCATTCAGGGACCATGGCCCCTTTAGGCCCTTGGGTCCGGAGGTTGTACCTGAAACCTCTTCATGTCCATGACTCGTTCCAGTGAGACAGAGCAGTCTGTCCAGTACACAGTCCATTCTTCGTCCTCCCCCACCTCCTTCAGGCCACACATTCGGGCTGCCCGACGCACTGTGGAGAGAGGGAGATCAGCGGGGCCAGCCGAGACACTGGCAGCAAGCCTTGGGATTGTAGCTGGGTCAGGTAAGGAAGAGACTCGGCCAGAGAGTGGGCTGAAGACGGAGGTGGTTCTTACCTCAGTGCTGCAGCTTAATTACCATGTGACAATTCCAAGGTCATGAGGCTGTCAGGGCCCTTCCAAAATCTGTGACAGAGAAAACTAGAGCCTGGCTCTCTGCTCCTCTCAGTCCTCTCTCTCTCAATTGGGATGGTTTCTGACCTGCAGAGCCGACCCTCTGGAGGGGTCACACTGGCACCTCCCACACTGGGTGGCCCCGTGGTGATGGCAGTGGGCACAGGAGGAGATGAAAAGATAGCTGATCTAGCTGGTCAGTTTTTTCTTTTAATTCCTGAAGCCCCCTCAAGGGCTTCCTTGGGAAAAAAAAAAACCGTGTTGACCTGTTCTCGTCTCAATTCTGGTAAAATCTGGGGAGGGCAGGGCAATGGTGACCTTCAGTCACTTTTTTTCTTGCTAGCTAGCTGGGGGATTTCCACCCTACCACGAAGCCTAAGTGGAACAGTGGTGTCTCAGCGGCTAGTAGCTCAGTTATAGGCCAGCCTAACAAGGTACAGGGGCTGGGAGCCTGACTGGGGGACCATCCCCAGAGCAAAACCTGCATGTGCCCTCTTATGCGCAGTGGTGTGTGAGTGAGCTGGGTGCTTACCGCTCTCATACTTGCAGTTGGTCAGGTTGATGGCCAGGGGTCTGGAATGGAGGAATAGCGGAAATCAGGCAGAGTGGGATAAAGGACAGACCCTGGGCTGCGAGGCACCCGACACATCTACAATGCAATTCATTTTCTCTGAAAGCCACTTAAAGACCAGGATGATAGAAAGGTGCCGAAAATGCAAACCAAGCCAGCTCAAATGGTTCAGAATTTTGTGTTTTTGTACTACCAAAAGGTTAATGATGTTCCTGTATTCCCTGTAGTCCTCTTTTGCAGATTAAAGGGAAGACCCCCCCGAACTGCTGAAGGGAGGCCAAGGGGTGACTCTCTTCGGGAGCCAGGCAGGTGAGGGGGCCCAGGCACCTGTCTGTTACCTGCGTTTCCGCCTTCTCTTTCTCCTCCCAACTTCTAAGTCATCTGAGTCAGTTGGGGCTATGATTTTCTTTGGAATTTTCTTGGCCACAATAGATAAGGGAACTCCATCCCCAAATTCCTTATAGTCAGCCTTTGAGAGTTCCTGCTGAGGAGAGTCAGAAGGGATGGTAGCTTCCCCTTGAACACATTCCTCCTCGGATTCCTCTTCCCCAACGTAGTCTTCCTCCGATTCGCTGGTCTTGCAGGTATTTGGCTCCATCCTCTTAGGTTCTGAGGAGAGAGGGTGAGAGTGAAATATGTATCAGAGCTTCCTTCTTCCAGGCCCAGGAAGGCCTGCAGGAGTCGGTGCAAAGGGCCTCCTTCATGGTGTTATAGGGGAACGTTGCTGGCCCCTCAGAACAGAACAATCCCACTGCAGAATGGGATGGTTTCCGAGTAGGTAATGGGGGCCGGGGAATGCCTGTGAAATGTTGGATTCCCCGACAATCCCTGATCATCCAAGATCACCCCTCCATACGACACACTGGGGTGCACGCAGAAGCTGGACGGAGCTGGCAGGCCGCATGACCGTGGCTTTTTTATTCCTGAATGGGAAGGGGGAATGGCTGGGCTTTGGGGGGAACTTCGATTTTAAAATAGAGCTGAAGACCAAAGGTCCCCCAAGCCGGCCCTTTCCCTGTCCCATGACTCGGTTTCTCCATGTGTACACACTGGCACTTGATGGCTAAGACCCCTTGGGCTCTGCTGGCAGAGGGGGAGCCCCTGGCGGACACTGCCCACCCGAGATTCCGAGGAGAGAGGAGGGGCTGCTGGGTCCGCCCCTAGCGGTCCGAGGCTGGTCTCAGGTGGTCGCTCATGTCCACCCTTCGCCCGGCTCCTGCTCCTTCCCGGGCGTCGCTGGGCCTCCGGGACCGCCCCCTTGTTCCACAGGACTGGCTGTCCCCGCCGATCGCGAGGGGGAGCCCGCTCCCCCCCGCCTTCCGGGGTTCGCTCCTAGCTCGGAGATCCCGGCGGCGGCGGCGCCTCCTTGAGCAAGCCAGCCCCCGCCGCCGCCGCTGTCGCCATGGACACGAGGGCGGCCCCCATTGGAGAAGCGTTCTGGGGGCGGGGCCTTCCCGGAACCACACCCACTTGGGCGCGGGCCGAGGCCATTTTGCGCGCGGGCGGAAACGCCCGCCCTGGGAGTGGGGGCCTCGCCGTCGGGGTCGCGCGTCTGCGGCCGCTCTCGGGACTGCATCAGCCGGGACCTGCAGTCGTTCCGCATTCGCGCCGCTTCGCACACGTCTCTCCCCAGCCTATCTCGAACGCGCGGGCCGGGCCCCGGAATTTGGCCAAGTCTGCGTTCGGGACAAACCCCTGCTTGCCTGCCTTCGGTGTTGTAGTGACCTGGGTGAACACGCTCGGCGCTCGGGAGGGACAGCCGTGAATAGCGCTCACCCTGCTGCGCTGCGTAACAGAGCGGCCGCCTCATAGCGCTCCTTCACTGCCCCTCCTGACGTCCGTACCCTCCGACCACCGAACTCAGTCCGACTTGTCATTTTAAAAAGACTATCCCGTGTGCCTCAATCTAGAGGACACTTTAAAATCTCCCTCCTTTAAAAACACGTGGGCACTGTTTGATTCACCCATTTCTTGCTGTTTCTTCAGCATATATTCTGTTACTCCCTTCTTGAAATGCTTTGGAGTCCCTTGCCTTCCAGGACTATCATTTTTCTCATTCTTCGCACAAATATTTAGCGTTCCAGACACTATTCTGGGACCTGAACCATCACCAATTCTTGCCTGAATTTGCCACCATGCAGCAACCTCTTAATTGGACTCTGATTGTTCTTCCCTCCTCTACACCCATCCATTACAGCTTAAGTATTCTTTCTAATGCAAATTGGATACTCCCCAATTTAAAGGTTTCCCATTAGATTAAATCCCAAACCCCTTGGTTACATAGGCCCTCAACCAAAATGCAAGCAGAGGTGGAGAGGTGCTGGGCCAGATCGTGCCTTCCTACCTTTCTATGGTGCTGGAAGGTGAGTATGGAGGGTCCCCTAAGTGTTCCACACTTAAGCTTAGAAAAAGCTTCTGAATTCCCTTCTTGACAATTCATGAGCTCTATAAACAGTTGAGAAGTACCACCATAAAGAAAAGCTATTTCACACCCCCACAGCAGCACATGGCGCCCCCGCCATCTTATGGAGAAACTTGGTTTGGCCAGAGAAGGCTTTCCTCTGAACAGCAGTCCTGGGGGAAAAACCCGATATTTGGGCTCATCACCTGGGACACAAAATCCCCTTTGCTGTAATGGTCATCTGTACTTCCTCCAGACTGAGCGAGCAACACAAAGTGACGCTATTGGAGCTTGTATATGCAAAGACTCACAGAAAGAAGCATAAGCTAAAATTACTGTGATGTGCCAGAGAGAGGAAGTTGACCCCAAATTTTTTATAGGAATTTAAATGTCAAATATGTAATATTTAAATGTAAATGTTAAACTTTTTTTTTCGTGGTACATATTCTGCCTTAACCCAATGAGGCTTTATAACATCTTCTGGGATGTACAACACTAAAATTCTATATAAAAACTTCAGACAAGACCTGGACAGAGAAAGCCAGCTACTCAGGGACCTGACCCTCAGCTCAGGGCCTGTCACCTGTTAAGGACACCACCACTACTATGCGGGCCGTTGCCTAGAGAGGCAGTCACCGGTGCACAGAGCCAGCTTCTGGCCCCTGACAACCGGGGCTGTGGTCCTGACCCCAGCACTGTGAGCCGTCTGGCCTCAGACAAGTTGCCAGACCTCTGCTCTGCCAGCCTGTTCTTGGTAAATGGCGGTATTCAAGTTGTGAAGATGCCTTTTTTCACACGAGATGATGTACAGGAGGTACACTCAACTTAGTGCTGGGGGCTGGAGGGAAATTCAAGGCTGGCCAGGCAGGGCAAGGTGCTCTAAGAAGGGCCTATGCGGGAGCAAGACCGAATGGAGGGGAGGGATGAAGAAATGGTCATTGGAGGCAGGCGACGGGAGAACACGCAGAGGTGAGGGCAGAAGTGGGGGCACAATGCCAGAGGCACTTAAACCATTACTTTGCCAAGACTTGATATGAAAAGTCTGAAGTCAGGAATACGTAACTCTTCTTTAAATATTTTTATTTATTTATGAGCAAGACAGCGAGCACACACACAGGAGCAGAGGGAGGGGCAGAGGGAGAGGGAGAAGCAGGCTCCCCACCGAGCAGGGAGCTTGATGCAGGGCTCAATTCCAGGAGCCCAGGATCATGAGACCTGAGCAGAAGGCAAACGCTTAACTGACTTAGCCACCCAGGAGCCCCAGGGTATGTAACTCTTGTGCATTCTTTGTTTTTTAAAAAAGACTTATTTTAGAGAGAACACATGTGTGCAAATGTGTGGGGGGGGGTGGGCAGAGGGAGAGGGAGAGAACCTCAAGCAGACTCTGCACTGAGCCCGATGTGGGGCTTGATCCCACAACCCTGAGATCATGACCTGAGCTGACTCTGGATGCCTAACTGACTGAGCCACCGAGGCGCCCCCATACTCCCTTCTTAGTAACAGGTTTGACATCCCTGAGGCTTGTCCAAGAAGAAAAATGAGAAGTGGATACCTTCATGATGCCTCATTCATTCAATTTATTCTAAGGTTTCTTCTCTTTAGAGACCACTTATCAGTTCTTTATCCCTCCCCTTGGGCTGAGACGGGTTAGGGTAAGGTGGCAGTCATGGACGCCCAAATGACCACATGGAAAGGGACTCAGAGCAGGTAGAAAATAAATACTTCTAGAAGGATTACTGCTCGTCCTGGGCCACCAAGGCCACCAGGGCTGCCTGTACTTCTTCCGCCTGGGCCGAGGGCAGCAGACAGTCTTGAATGAGGGCCAGAGCGGCTGCCTCTGTCAGACTGCCAAAATCCTGGCACGTTTTGACAGGGAGGTGCCCGGCCAGCTCACAGAGGGCGACACTGAACACCTCGCCTTCCTTTACCCCAAAGCTGGACTTCCGGGCCCACAGAATTACTCGGACGCCTGTGAGAGCGGAGGAAGGTGATGTCTTTCCAGGGGGGGCCCCCCGGGTCACAAATAAATTATGGGCAATCTCATGGTCGGTCAGGTAGTTGGTGGCCCGACATACCCTGCTTATCAGGGCTTCCAAGTCAGGCCCCGGCCCGCTTGTGTAGAAGAGGAAGCCGGGAGCTGGGAGGGCCCGGAGCAGATGCAAACGGCCCCCAGGGTCCAGGGGCTCGCTCGGTGCCCCCTCCACAGGCAGTCTGTGAGCCAGGTAGTACCCGTGCAGGTGCAGGTGGTTCACCGAGGCCAAGCCACCCAGGCTGTTGAAACCGACGCGGAAGCCCGGGTGTGAGCTCAGCAGCACTGCCTCGACTCCGGCCCGCAGTGCGCCTGGCAGCAGGCGCTGGGGGAGCCCACGGCGGGGCTCGGGCACCAGCAGCACGTGGCCCCACTCCAAGGGGCTGACATTGATCATGACGAGGATGTCCTCTTGCTGGACAGCACCTGGGAGATCGGGCTCCCGGAGCAAACGGAAAAGGACTTCTCCTGGCCGGACCTTGTTGAAGTTAAACTGTTCAGGGTCAAATGCCTGCTTCACACTCCGGATGTTCTGGGGGCGCCTCCTCTGCACGCCTCGCTCCACATTCAACTGAGCCACAAAACCCACAGCACCCGGGAGGGTCTGGGTCTGCAGCTCCCCCAGGCGGTAGCGGAAGAGCCCCAGGTCCATCCGCTGCCTCCAGGCGGAGCAGAGCGCAGAGTCAAAGCGAGACCGCGGTGCTGTGTCCAGGAGGCTGGGGGCAGCCCTAGGCCACTGAATCCCTTCCAGAACAAGTTCCTTCTGCCCGTAGACAAAGTCAGGAATGCCTTGCTCTTCCCAGTCCTTACTGTTTGGAAGGAACAGATAGGAAGTCTCATTTGAATCCTGTGGAGCGGCCATGGTGCTGACCTGAAACAATCATAAGAGGTGAAAATTACCTGATGTTGTCCCATTTCTAGACATGTTATTTATTTATTTTTAAAGATTTTATTTATTTATTTGACAGGGCGAGTGTGAGAGGGAGAAGCAGACTCCCCACAGAGCAAGAAGCCCTATGTGGGACTCGATCCCAGGACCCTGGGATCACGACCTGAGTGGAAGGCAGACGCTTACTTGGCTGAGCCACCCAGGCATCCCTACTTTTTTTTTTTTTTTTTTCTTAAATTAAGTAATCTCTATGCCCAATGTGGGACTGGAACTCACGACCCTGAGATTAGAAGTCACATGCTCCGGGGTGCCTGGGTGGCTCAGTCAGTTGAGCATCAGACTCTTGATTTTGGCTCAGGTCATGATCTTGGGGTCGTGGGACCGAGCCCCATGTTGGGTTCCATGCGCAGCTCGGCGTCCGCTCGGGATTCTCGCTTTCTCTCTCTGCCCCGCTCCCCGCTCACCCTCTCTAAACAAATAAGTAACATATAGGTTGTTGCCAATTTCATATCTGTTTGTTGCAGTGAACATCCTGTGTATCTGTTTCCAGACATGTTTTTATTTTCCTTTAAAATAAAATCCCAGTCAACCACTGGGTCAGGCTTTTGACACACACTCTATCAAACTGCCCTCCAGAAAACTGTAGCAGCGTTCCATTGTATAAGAATGGCCAGGGTTTCAAAGCCATCTATTCCTTTTATGGGAACAGCTTTCCCACTGTTCGGTAGGGATTCCAAATGGCCAGGCATAGAGCCATTTGGGTGAGGATGACCCAGTACGTGCGTAAGTGCCACGGCCAATCCTTCAGGGGGGGAAATGGATGGCTACCTTCATCTCCCACGGGGCCCCTGGAGCCCTGCGGACCCGGAGGTGTCAGGGACAAGGGCCTGCTGTTGGCTCAGCCAGGACTTCACAAGGAAGCTCACCTCAGCAGAGTTGCTTCACTTCAAGTCTGGGTTCCCTCAGCTCTGCTGGTCCAGAAACTTTACATGAATAAAACAGAAAGGAAACATTAAAAAACATACAAAATGATCTATCAAAAGTTGAGTTTAATGGGTATAGAGTTTCGATTTTTTAAGATGAGAAAGTTGTAGAGATTGGTTACACAATAATGTGAATATACTTATCACTACCGAACTGTACACTTCGGGGTGTACAGTCACCTGTACACCTGGGTCACCTGGGTGACTCAGTCAGTTGAGTGTCTGACTCTTGGTTTCAGCTCAGGTCGTGATCTCAGGGTCGTGAGATGGAATGAGCCTGTGTTGTGCTCCGTGCTCAGTGGGGAGTCCGCTTGAGAGTCTCTCTTCCTCTG